TTAAACAGAACATAATCTTAATATGTAAATTCTGCCTTATTTTTAATAAAACTCACTGGTGCTTAACACAAACTGAACTTTTTCTCAATTTTTGAAGAGTATTCAAAAATTTTCTAAAAGAAATATCCTACATTCTATTTTGCAGAACTTTCTGGCCTTGATTTACATGTACACATCCCTTTCTTTTCACAGGGGTTGATTTTGAAGCTGTTTAATTTTAAACGAATACCCCCCCCCCCTTCAGATTTCCATAAAAATCTTCTTTTTAAAAGTACCCGGCCCCCGATGTACTTATGAAGTTATAATTGATCCCATAAAATTAAAAGATGCATTAAAAACCAACAGAATATTTTCAAATTTCAGCCGTCAAAACTTGCCCAAACCAAAATTTGTCCTGAAACAAATAAATATTATTTACCACCCACAAAATATGATTGTATATGCTTCTGATAGAAAGAATAATTTGTGTTTTACACATGACATATAAGATGAAAGGTCTGTTAAATAAACATTTTTGTTGTGAAATTTACAAAGACTGGAAAAAAGTCTTTCATCGAAGCAAACATAAGGATTTTTTTGGGATTCAGTTTTCCCTCACGTGACGTGGTTTGCAAAAGCATGCAAATCCGCCCTTTGGCATTCTAAAATGAAAGAAGGATTGACGTGACGATAAAGTTCATCTTCCGCGTCATCATCATCGCGAGTCAGTTATCGTACCGGTACGTCCGTGTGCGACAAGACGAAGGATAAATCTTTTTATCTAGAATTGTAGATGATGGGGATTACAGTTGTTTTCCTCCAGCAGAAAGGTTTAGGATAACAGATTTCATTTTTGCGGGGAGTAAGTTACTAAGACGCGTCGCAAATAGGACAAGTGCCTTAACGTGGGTTAAATTGAAAAGTGTGTTTGCGTATTTGCTTTTGTTATTTCTTGCTTTCTTGTTTGTTCATTTTTGTCCCTCATTTTCTGCTTGAATATTTCATGGACTGGAGATTAGCATTGTATTTGTATTAAACATGTCTCGAAATGTAATAGAGACTGAAATAAACAATTTTTTATGATGCAACCGTGGGAACAATTTCATTGAGATGCGAAGCAATAATTATGGCTTGGAAAAAACAATGTGTGTGGTAAGTACACATGTAACTGGATACCAGTCATAATAAATACACATTAAAACCCTCCTATGTAAACATACATTCTGTGCCAAGTTATCCTTTCAGTCAAAATCAATCAAGTTACTGTTTTCAACAGTTAAGATCTCCTAGCCCACATAAAGCAGGATTGACTGGCTGTGACTGTTTATGTAACTTGATACATCTGTGCTTTGACTGTGAGTGATTGATAAGAGGCCTGTGCAACCAGTTTCCTGCTTTTGTCTGTTGACTGAATTTGACTAGTCAGAGTGCTCGCTTCAAATATAAACTGACTGTTACTGACTAGCCTGTTTAAAAGGCATGGCAGGGGAAGTGGATGGAATTTTTGACTGTCTGTGACTGTTTAAATAGTTGTTTCTGGTACACAGCCAGATTTGTGAAATTTGCAATTACCCAGTAACGAACCTACAGATTTTTAACGAGAAAATGCTTGCTCGAAGTGAAGACAGGACTGGTACTAAATACCCTGTAAAATTATTCCGCCTGAAATGGTATCATTTGGAAGAAAACAATCATTGAAGATGGTTTAAGAAAATGTGCCTGTTGGCACATTTTTTTTTACATGGGTTAGCAACGGAATCCAGTTACGAGACTCCAAAAATTTGTCTCTGTTTTCCCAAAATGTCCACTGAGCTGAAACTGCAACAAATTCGTTGTTTATGCACCCTTCTTAAGATTTTTAAAAATGTTGTTGCTTTAAACGAACAAAAAAATGCAAATGATCAAGATTTCTTAGGGTTAAGAATCTTGGTTTTAGGTTAAGAATCCCCTGTAGTTAACAAAAACAATATAATTTTGTATTACTACATAAAAGCAAAAGACAAACTTGAAAAAAAAGGAGGAAAACACCAGTAAACAGAGGGAAAAAGTTGAAACCTCTTGGATTTAGTGTCAATTCCTTGCCATGAGTTGCCGTCTTGACCATTTCTTTCCTACGGTTGCCTAACTACAGCCCAATTAGCTTAATTCTGGACGATTACCGGCTTAACACAAGTCAAGGCCAAGATTATGCTGGCTCGGGATGAGACGGGTCATTAGGAACCAGATTATATATTAATATACCCCGAGTTGTTGGCCAATATGCCACGAAGGTCACACGTGGGGGCTCTACACATACATGTAGAGATTTGAATCTTTTTTGTGGGTGTGTGTGAGTTTGTCTTACATTCCCTATGTGGACTTGTGAACAAGAGATGTCCACATAATGCAGGTTGTGTTAACGTTATGTGGACTAAGCCGTGTCCACATAACGTTTTGCCCTTTCTGGAAAACAGGTTTAGAGGCATTTTTGGGTTAGGTTTATCCGTAGCAGAATGAAGAGAAACACTATAGGGAATCATAGAAAAAAAATTGGGTTAAAAGAGTTTTCACAGTTTAAGTAAAGTTATTTTTTGTACCGAGTTTTCTTAACTACACGAAAACAAAGGAATGTCCAGACAAGGTATGTAACGTAAACCGGTGTGTGTGGGTGTGTGTGTCAAGGATCTCTGGACATACATGTACATTATATCGTCGGGTGCCTGGAAGAAGGTCGTAAGGGGCGAAAAATGAGTCAAAAGGTCAAATTCAGGGTTTTTTTGCGGTTAATCGATTAAGCTTGGAAATATCTTTCATTTGATATACATAATGTCTCAAGGGGCTACGTCATTCTGACGTAATTAACAGTAAACAAAAGACGGAAGGAGGTTTTTCATTATTTGTGCCCGGCAAAAGGTCGTAAGCATGTAATTATAATGTAACAAAAAATGTTCCAAGCGCCCTAACGTCCCACTGAAGTGGGTACGCAAAGCCAAGTTTGTTCCCGGCAAAAGGTCGTTAGGATTTAACACGCCGCTTAAGCGCACGCTTAATGCAGGGCGGATTCATGTTTAAGGCAGATTAAGTTTCCGGTAAAAGGTCATTAGCAGAAAAAATTAAATAACTTTAAAATTAAGTGATATTTTGAAATAACAATGCACAATATGATTTTTATTATTAACGACATTCATGAGCTCAAATTTCAGCCTGATGTGATATTTCATTTAGAAATGGGAGCACAAAACCTTTAAACTCGATTATCTCCAAAAGTGCTTTTTGCGTCCCTGGGCTGCTAACGTCCTTTTCCTTGGCACACGATGATATGTGGACTACAGTGCAAGGGTCGCATTTCTTGATGTCGTGCAACATGATGTTTCTGCTCATGGACCAGTTGTCTAGTGAGCACAATTTTGGTGGCAGAATCCGCTTAAAAAAATAGCGACACTCTAATGGCCAAAATCGGTATTCAAACTGCATATGTGCAGAACAAGATTCAATGTTTTACTTTGAGATAAACGCGGCAGATAAATGCACATGCGTCCACGTGGGGGACGTGGTAACCAAATCTGCAATTTTTCATGAATTCAAAAAGACGATGGAACTTTTTAAGCAGAAAATACTTCGTTGTCCAATTTTTTTGCAAGTTTGCTTGGTAACCGCTATGATATTGCACGCATATAGGGACAGGTGTATCCTGAGGGAAAAATCGTCAAATCTAGGTGTGCACATGCGGAGTTGGAATACCAAACTCACTTATTGAAAGCCAACGCCAAGCTGTAACACAGAGGCTTTGAAATTTGAAATATGCATTGAGACTCGAGAGCACTTTGGAGTATGCATATTTATCTATGAACACCTTTCGCAAACTATGGACAAGTGCAGAATGGATGTCCAAAAAAAAAGAGAAATGACAGACAAGAGACATTCGGGCGATTCACAATGCAGTGCGCGCCACCAAGAGTTGGCCATGGAAAGTCAACTTTTCAAGTTTACATTCGACAAAATATGGCCCATTTGAATGAGTGTCAGTAGACACTTGAGGTAATTTGTTATAGATTGGAGCATAGCGTTCTCTTGCCTTACCAAAAATCACCACATTGATACAAAGAAAAGAAAAGGGCAAACATATATTCGAATCATACGCTTACGAAACTACTGACCGGAAAAAACGAACAATTTCAAATGTCCCGCGATGCAAATTTGTCGACCATATCCGACAATGCACTGGGAAAAATGAACTCTCCGTGGCAAACTATTGGTGGCGCTCTGCATTTGTGAATCGCCGAAGTAAAATTGTCTTAATTTCAGAGAAAATTACTACTTTTCATAAAAAAATGTTCCCTCCTTTAGAAAAAGTATATACAGGGTGATTAAACAAAACCTTCACACTTTTTCAGGGGCAGATTTCTCAAACTTGAAGAGACATGTTGAAATTATGTTAAGATATTCGTAATCTACAAGATCTTGGTCGTATATGGTGAAAACGGCGTAAAAAAAAAAAAAAAAGCGCAAGAGGCAGACTCCCGCACTCTAAAAGTTTTGCCAAATGTGCTGTGTGTGCAGCATGAAATGAGACCAGTAACGAATTTCGCAAAACTTTATGAAATGGCGTACCGCCAGTTACGCAATAAATCGTAGTGCAAGTGGAGTTTATACACCATTTCATAAAGCTTCGCGAAATTGGCTATTGGGCTCAGGTCCACTATGGGCTCCGTGCGCCAACGAAAGAGGGCGCTCTTTTACCTAGCAACGACGTCCCATGGGTGGGACATTAAGCTGGTTGACGCGCACCGCTCCTTGTGTGTGACGCACGTACACCAAGGGATTTGTACTATGTACACGCAGTGGTACGGCCGCCCCAGCAAAATTGCAGTCAGGCAAGATGGCGTCAGTCGATCACCCCCAACTGTACTTTTTTTTGCCAGTGAGGGGGTATTTGTGAACGGAGCGGATGGGTCTCTGGTCACAAATTGGGAAGCAGGTCAGGATTAAAGATTAGGAATAAGGAGTGGTTTCTAGGAATGTCGAAGGGAATGCGAACAAACCTACCTTGAAGTGTCTCTAGATGCCGTGTTTAAGTGCGTGGCACAGCCAGTCCATCTTAGTGGTCCATCCACCACCGTGGGCCTCATTCAGCTGCTTCATGAAGTACTCTACGGCCTCTGCTTCTTCCTTCTCCACCGCCATGGTCTTGCGGAGGTAGGAGATGTCGTCGATGGACTGCAGCTCTGGGATGCCCGTGGCCAGCATCATGGAGAAGAGGGAAATGAAGAGGTTGGCCGAGCGGCGGAGGATGAGGTAGGCCGAGCAGCATAGCTCCTGGAACCTTTAGGTGAGAGAAGTTTATAAACTAAATGTTTGGTTTCTGGTTCTAGAACCGTGTCTTCTGGGGTTGATGGAAGAGATACAAGGTTGGCCGAGCAGCGGAGGATGAGGTAGGCCGAGCAGCATAGCTCCTGGAACCTTAAGAGGAGAGAAGTTAACAAATCAAATGTTTGGTTTCTGGTTCTAGAACCATGTCCTCTGGAGGATAATATTGAGGAGATATAGAGGCTGGCTGAGTGGCGAAGGATTGGGTAGGCCGAGCAGCAAAGCTCCTGGAACCTTCAGAGAAGAAACGAGGTTGGCCGAGTGGCGAAGGATGAGGTAGACTGAGCAGCACAGCTCCTGGAACCTTAAGAGAGAAGTTAATAAACCAAGTGTTTGGTTTCTGGTTCTAGACCAAGTCCTCTTGGGTTGATAATGGAGAATGAAATACAGCAGTTGGCTAAGTGGCGGAGGATGAGGTAGGCTGAGAAGCATAGCTCCTGGAACCTTCAGAGGAAAGAAGTTAAATAAATCAAATGTTGGGTTTCTGGTTCTAGAACCATGTCCTCTTGGGGATGATATTGAGGAGATATGGAGGCTGGCTAAGCGAGGAAGGATTGGTAGGCCCAGCAGCACAGCTCCTGGAACCTTCAAAGAAGAAAGTATGTAAATATAAGGTTTGGTTTCTAGTTCTGGAACCATAGACATCAACCCTAGCTGATCGGTAGAGGATGAGGTACATGTAGGCCAAGCAATAGAACATTTGAACATTGAAAGGAGAGAACTTAAAAGATCAAATATTTGCTTTCTTTGGAGGAGGGCCCAATTATCTTGACCAAGTGTAAGATTATGAGTTAAGATAAGCAGACCAGCTCCAGGAACCTTGACAGAAGAGAGGGATGTACATGTAGCTCAGAGGTTTGGTTTCTGGTTCCAGAACCTTGTCTGTGCAGGAAGAACCAATAGCTTCATCTCAGCATGGAGAAAGGAAGGATCTAAACATTTAGCTCATAGATTTGGTTTCTGGTCCAAGAACCTTGTCTCTGAAAGGCATCAAATAGCCCTAGTTTAACAGCCCAAAAATGGAATCTTGACAAGAGAAGGATGTACATGTGCCTCACAGATTTGAATCTTCTTTTTGTTCAAGACCCTTGTCCATAAATGTCCGAAGGAATTTAAGGGGTAGGTTTTTAAGGGGTAGGTTTGGCAGAAATGTCAGATGCTGATTTGTGAATGACCTACTTTTTAAACTCCGGACTCTTGTTGATATCATTGCCCTTGGTGATGACTCGAAGGAAGTCCTCCGTCAGCACGAAGGGGACGCGCTCCCGCTTGATACCGTACTTCTTCTTGATGTGACCCAAGAAGTGACCAAAGTCGATGTGGAAAATCTATGGGAACAAGGAACAAAAGAATGGAAATTCAATGCTGCATTTGTTACACTTTGGCAATGTATCAAGTAATTTTTTCCTTTTTGCGATCTCAACTGCTACTCTTTGATGAGGTCAAAATCTGTTCCCGAACTGTTCATATGATATCTCTGAATGAAAATTTCAAAGAGAGTCAAAATGTTGAGAGAAACAATTCAGGTGTGTTTACAAACACAAATGCCCCGCAACTGTGACTGTTCCCATGACATAATACCACTCTTTTAACATCAACTTACATGTACATAGCTCACATGGAATGTTCATTGACAGCATTAGTGTTTTCTGTAGGTTTTATATGATTTAATCCCTATGATCTCAGAATAAATACAAGATTTTTATTGTTTTAGCCACTGTGACCTTAACCCTTGACCTTTCGACCCCCAATGCAATAGGCTTCTTCGAATTACCAAGAACAATCCACAAACCAAATTTGAAGTTTACATGTAAAGTATTTCTCAAGTTATCGCGCTGACAAAATTTCTTGTTTTAGCCACTGTGACCTTGACCCTTGACCTTTCGGCCCCAAATGCAATAGGCTTCTTAGGATTACCAAGGACAATCAACAAACCAAATTTGAAGTTCACATGTAAAGTATTTCTCAAGTTATCGCTCTGACAAAGTTTCTTTTGTTTTAGCCACTGTGACCTTGACCCTTGACCTTTCGACCTTTTGTTACGCAAGTCCTACACATTGCTTAAGTTAGGCACTGTTTCGTGAAATCGGCTGCTGGGCTTATTTCAGGAGCCGAAATTTGCCAAACACGGAATGTTTTTGCTTAGCAGAACAACAAGTTATCAGCAAAAATTGTCTATGTGCTGTCTATTAGCTTGTCACTGGTACTCAACAGATTTCTGCTCAGCACCTAAATCCACTTAGAACTATTTCCTGGTCCAGGACACCACTCTGCCTCCGACCATGGCCTGCAGTAGATTGGTAACCGGTTCGATTCCAGGTTGTGTTTTTTTTACCTGTCCGTTCTCATTGAGCATGATGTTGTCGTTGTGCCGGTCCCCGATACCCAAGATGAAAGTGGCCACGCAGTATCCGGCGCAGGACTTGGTGAACATGTCGATGGCATCGTCATACCTGGGGGTCAAGGTCACATATAACACCATTTAAAAAATAAAAGTTCAATTGGGCAGGAGGGGTGCAATATCGCACACAACACCATCAAGCAACAAAATTTGTTCATGAGATCAACAGATCTGGAGAGCAACATCACATACAACATCATTCAAGAAAAACAGACTCTCCATTGGATCATTATGTATGAGGCAATATCATATACAACACCATCAAGCAACAAACTTGTCAATGGGATCACCATACCTGGAGAGCAACATCACATACAACATCATTCAAAGAACTGCAAAGGGAACATTGACCTCCATTAGTAAGACTGGATAGGACACGCGTATACTTGCGCGCAGTGAAGATTTGGAAAACGCGGACACAAACAGCTGGGTAGTACAGTGCGGGTGTAAAGTTTGCGACCACGCATGCGTGACGTTCATGTGCTGTATGGTCTGTGTGTGACCAACGCATTTCAACTTTCAAACCCTCACCGATGACTATGCGTACATGCACAAGATGGAGGGCGTTGTGTCCTTTCCAGTCTTACTAATGGAGATCAATGGAAGGGAACAATATATCTCAGGGACAATATTTATCACACATCAATCTATCCATCAATCTACAGAACATATAGATCGGGTGCCCGGCTGAAGGGCATCTGAGCGTGCTGATGCATTTATCATTTTCAAAAATATTGCATTGATAGGGTCCAATGTTCCCCCACGCCTATTATGAAACTAATGTTCTCCCACGTGTAATATAAATTGTACAAATTTTAAATTTGTCACACATATGAATCACAGTTTTTGGAACAACTTGTATTAATTTCTGATGAAAATGTTTACATTTTATTAAAATAGAGGCAGTTTTCTGCCTATTTTTGCGGTGCGGCCAGGCCGTGGGTTGGGACGAATAATTCAATGACACGTGATCAACGACCCACCAACCAGACGACAGGGATTTAGTCAGGCGTTGCATAACATAAAACAATCGTTGCCTGTAGTTATATGGTGCAGGAGTTTTCGCACACCCTTGGCTCGGCCTTAGTACCATTTATCCCCCTTGGGTGTGGGAAAACGCCATGTACCACATCCCAGCAGACGATTGTACGATGTACTTACTGATCTCCCTTGTTCTTCTCCTTGATCCACTGATGCAACACGCTGCTCTTCAGCTGTAGGGTCCCCATGATGCCGGCTTTGTGTTGTATGTCGTAAATCGTCAGTGAGTTCTGAACCACCTCGATCAAACCGGTGGCATTACCTGAGGCTAAACACTTGTAGGGTTGCATACTGCGAAAAAAAAGGGAGTGACAAAAAACGTGCTAAGATGAAAAACTATGGGATCTATTTTTTTTAGTATTTGTTATGTCTGTGGAGTGGTGTTGTCTTGTTATTATGTCCGTCCAATGCAAGACCTTTTGTGAAATTTCATTGGTTGAGAAATTTCACGTGAGGTACTGCATAAGATCATGTACAAGTAATGGGTTCCGCGGAATACATCGACTCATGTTACCCTGGTACATCACCTTTCATCGTTCTCAAAGACTTTTGAACATTTTCATCCCTGCTGGTTTGTGCAACACAGCTAGAATAGACATTGGCCACGAGATGGGTGATGTTACGCTTGTCAACACGACACATGTCAATGCATTTTATGAAGGACTGAAGTGTTCGAATCTTCAATGAAATTGCATAGGGGTGGGAACACAGAAAAAAAAGTACTGTCATCATGAAAATGACAGTTTAAACCTAACCCTGCCAGAAGCAACACAGTGCATCAGGTGGAAACGTCTGGTGCACTTTGATGCATTCAGCTATCAACACCAGTGCATAAAAGGGCGCTTCTGAGACAATGACAGCTAGTCCTATAGATCAATGCTTCAGTTGTAATCCTGCTGTGTTCAGGGACCACAAACTCTTAGGCAGTTTGGCCTTGAGACTTTTGGCCTGATGGATCTTGCTGCACTGGGCAGGCTTGTCACTTAGACAAGTGTTGCATGTTGCTGCATTTGGCAGGGTTTAAAAATACCCCTGCCCCTGAGGGTTAGGGTTTAATATATTAAGTATAATATTCTTAAAAAATAAAAATAGAATCATGGTATAACAATATACTTGCCGTCTAAAAGAACTTGGCTAAGATATCCTTTACTAATGTTGAAAACATGTAATGTTTGATTGTACGCAAGAGACATGTTGATGCAATCTGACAAAGCATCTCACAAGTTTGAAGTCTGTAGGCCAAATATTTTTGGAGATACTTCGACATAACCAACAACTTTCTGACCGAGTTTCTGGAGCCTCATCTACTGTTCCTTCAAGAAGTCGGTCACGCCTTTAAGAGGCTTGTTTCATCACTTACTTGAGGTCCAGCCCGTTCATCTGCCAAATGTTGTCCATGATTTCAAAGATCTGCAGCGTCAGCATGTCCTGCCGCAAATCTGATCAATGAATCAAAAAGGCTGGCATCAGGCAGTGTGTCACGTCAAGTTGAAGTATTTATTAACCCTAACCCACCTCACTCCTCCAATATCCTCCTGGCGGTTTTGGAGGATTCTAGAGGATTGAGGATGAATGGTGATTGAATCAAATGAGGATTCTGGAGGATTGAGGATGAATGGTGATTGAAGCACATGAGGATTTTGGAGGATTGAGGATGAATGGTGATTGAAGCACAAGAGGATTTTGGAGGATTGAGGATGAAAGCATTTTGAGGCAGGACTGTCTTATGATTTTAAGGGTATTTGGCGTTGGTTATCCTTCATTTAAACACGAGTGCAAAGTTTTGGGATGAGGAGGATTTTGGAGGATTGAGGATGAATGCATTTTGAGGCAGGACTGTCTGACAATTTTGAAAAATTTAGGCGGAGTTGCAAAATTTTGGAAAATTTGGGAGGATTTTGGAGGATTGAGGATGGTTGTAAGCAACAAGGGCCTAGGGGGTTAGGGTTAATCCTTCAAAGGAAATGACCGGATCCAACAAAATGAGTCTTGTGCACGTAAAGACATTTGTTCAACTTATACCTGTGCATTTACGCATTACAAACAGAATACTCAACTCCTCATTTTGATATATCAAACAGTTTGACATTCAGGTGAATATGGATGGTATGTGGATGAATACAAACGTTATTCACTTTTGAATGAGACATCGAACAAAAATCAGCCAATAGTAAGTATGGAATAATCTAAAGTTCGAAGTTTCCCGTTTTCTTAAAATTGAAAATTCCGTTTTCTTAAAATTGAAAATTCCGTTTTCTTCGGGTTTCTTACAAAACAAACACCACAATCACACACAACACTTGAAGTTTTGCTCTAGATGTCACCGCACGCACGCACGTGGTAGCCTGCCGGCCGCGGGCCATACAGAAAATCGTGCATAATACATACACGTACATACATACATATCCATGGCATACAATAGAATGTCCTTCTGTGATGCATAATTCATGACGGACAGCTTGCCTGTGCACCAATCCGGGACAATTGTGCATGCGGTAAGAGCCAAGTAGGTTGTTTAGCAGTTGTGATATAATGTGGGCGATGTGGTATTTAGTCTTGGTTGCAAGATGGCTTGCGGTCATTCCGCATGTTGAATCGCATGATACCGTGCGTGCGTGCACAGACCCCACTGCGAAAGGCGTTGTAGAACCAAGACTAGCAATTTGCATTTTGACGTGAACTCAGCTGGTTCCCAATGAAATACGAATCCCTGCCACACTGCCGTGTTACCAGTGATGCCGATGTCACAGCACGTTGTGCATACGCACATGTATTATGTACGTGCGTGCATTTGGCCAGCGATCGCCTCAGTCCCGCTGCGATGTGCATACATCATTACATGTATTTGGTACGAAAGAATTGAAGACAACACTACGAAAACTGTTTAGTAGGTTCCTTTTCAACTTTTCATGTACCTTTTTGGCAGTTAATATAGAATTCTGTGTTGTCCTTAGTTTCCGTGAAATTCCATCCGTTTTCCGTATCGCAGAGGACTTCGGACTTTAGAATAATCGCCTTACCACTTTTTCTTGATGTGGCCAGACACAACGAGTCAAGAGGAAAGTGGACTTACCGTCACCCTTCTTGAAGATGATCTTCATGTCGGCAAACATGGCGTCGGCCATCAATTCGTGGTTCTCCCAGACCAGCCATAGAGGGCGCTTGGCCGAGGACATGATACGACAGTCCTCCACCTTCAGCTTGCCCAGGGTGAAGGTGGGGTTGAGCGGCAGGGGGAAGTGCTGGAGGGCGTCGATGAAGTCTGCCTGCTGCATCTGGTCCGACAGGTATTTCAGCCGGTCCTGAGGTTAGTTTGGGGAAATGATAATTTTCAGGAATTGTCAAGTTAACTCTCCGAGGACTTCAGCTTGGAACCTCACTGAATTCTCCAAAATCCTCCACTAAGCAGGAACCCATATTCTTTGCACTCTGAAGCCGCCCTCATGTCAACATTGCGACGCCACAGAACAGTCGGCGACGACAAAGAACAGTCATTTTTTGACTGTTAACACCAAAAATAAGTCTACGAAACTTGTAAGAATGTTGTAAGAATATCCAGAATGCTGTAAGAATATCCTGAATTACTTATGAATACCAGAAGATTAAAGGGAATATACAACATTTGCAAACATCGAAAAATAATACTACCTAGTTTTTACGAAATACCTTACTAGGATGTTGGTAAATGACAGTCTAAAGCATCCTGTAAAATTATGGCACCTGGTGTGAAGTCATTTTCAAGAAAATGGTATTTTTGTAAAAATTTCCAACGGTGGTCGGCCGACCACCGTTGGAAAAACCTAACTATTTTTCAACTACTGCTCCAAATTAACCATTTTTCTTTCAGTCCAAATTTTGTTTGCTATTGGTTACATGTTCATGAACGGGTGCAGGCCGGCTAGACTGGTTGCATTACCTTACAAGTTTCCGGCATCTGTAAATTGATCCGTTTTATATTTAGTGGAGTCAGGGAACCAGACTACTTGAACATTTTTGTTTTTCTTGGTTTTTCCAGCATTTTCGAACACAAACCTTCAAACATGTCAGTCTAACAATATTTGATCTATTATACTAACCCCTCAAATAGTTCATTTCTGAAAATTACAGCAAAAGCCAATCATGTATATTCCCTTTAAACCAAGGATTGAAATTGGTTCGCGAATCACCTCCACAATTTTGAACATGTCGATCTTTCACCGAACTAACAGAATCATCCCGAGGCAGCCAACAACCATTCCCAGATTTACTCAAGAATGCTATTCGCAACGATTCGGCTTAAAAATCAGGAATGTGTGAACCTAGCATTAAAGGGAAAATACAACATTTGCAAACATCAAAAAATAAAACTACCAAATCATTTTGAAATACCTTGCTGGACTGTTAGTGAATGACAGTGTAAAGCATCCTGTAAAATTATGGCACCTGGTATACTGTCTTTTTCAAGAAAAGTGGTATATTTGTATCAATTTCCAATGCTGATCGGCCGACCAGCGTTGGAAAAACTGGCTTTTTTTCAAATACTGGCCCCAGTTGACCATCGCACTTGTTTGCAATCGATTACACACCTATGAACGGGTACAAGCCAGCTAGACTGGTTCCCTAACCTTACAATTCCCCAATGTATGTAAACTGCTCTGTTTCTTCTTAAATGGAGTCAGGGAACCAGACTACAGGAAAATGATTGTTTTTCTTGGTTTTTATAGCATTTTCGAACCCAAAACCTCAAAAAAGTCAGTGTAACTATATTTGCTATATATTTCCAACCCCCAAATTCCATCCATTTCTGAAAATTACAGAAAAAGCAAATGATGTATATTCCCTTTAAGCTCAGGGCAAGCAGGCAGATTCGGTCACGCTTCACTGCTCTGCACAGTGCTGTTTTAGCAATGACACTCTGTGTGACACAGTTACTTTGACCCTCACTCCCTAGGAAGCAACCTCAATCCTTCGAAATCTTCCAACTGCCTCCATGTAAAAATTGCATACAGCTTCAATCCGGCAAAATCCTCCGTTATTTCTTGAATATGGTCCTTGGAGGGGTGACCACTGCCTTATAATCCTGCAAAATCCTCCAGCAATCACCGTCAATATGTTGAGGCAGAGCCAGTGACATCCTAAAGCAGTGCGGAGGATTTCAAGTATAATCTAGGCCTAAATGTATGCATGGCTGAGCATAAACAACACAAGGTCTGGCCCAAGACCTCGACACAGTGCATCCTCCAAAATCAGCCACACAATTTTGCCATATAGCCTCAATCCTGAAAATCCTCCATTTTGCAAAGAGGATTTTGGAGGATTTGGGAAGGTTAGGGTTAACACGTCATATCCCTTCACCTGAAACTGACCTGCAGGGTTTTTCAAGGGTTTCACATATTGCTCTGAATAGTGACGTCCCACTAGAGGGTGAAACAGTACTAGGGACTCACTTTACTGGTGTCGTCCTTGCGCACGCTGAGCGATATGGTCAGGTTTGTCAATTTATCGATGGCCTCGACCTGCTTGACGATGAGCTTGAGGTACGGTCCTAGGGCTCGGCAGTAGGCCTCCAGCATCAGGCCAAACCTCTGGCTGACTTTGGGTTTGTGCATCTCAGACCTACAATAACAGAAGTAAAAACAAAAAAAGGCAGGCCAGTTGAGTCAGAATGGCCAAAAAGTTTGTGGAACAAGTAGTGGTAACGTGATGAAAATGAAAATCTACTTTCGCTCGATGTATGGAGGCTGGACTTATTGCCTGCACATTGTCATGAAAGTACATGTAACAAGCTTCGCAAGACTAAAGCATATGTGGTTTACACCATAGAGCTATATTAAATTACTAGAGCGCTAACTTCGTGTACAAAGTAATGCCTGCTGGGCGCATCCATGTTTGTGCACAAACCTATGGAGACCTAGACATTTTGTACGGCTTTTGTACGGCTATTTGCATATCTGCGTTTGTATTCCATACCGGTGCGTCATCGAAGCCGATACGCCCAAAACCGAAACGCACGATCAGCAAATGAGCGTGTCATTTTGCTCTACGCAAACAGCGCAACGCGTGCGTGTATTCGCTGAAGATGCTTTTGGCCGTCACGTTTTTTTTTTAACCGTCAATGACGCGCTTAAGTTGTTTGCGTATGTTCTACTTGCGCGTTGCATGTAGAGTACACTTTCAAATTCAATCCATCTAATTTCATTATGTTCTACAAACACGCACATGAATTCAAGATGTCTGCGCCCAGGACGGCTTCAAAGCGTCTCCGCGAGCAGAATGACGAGTTAGCGTTCTAGTAATTTAATATAGCTCTATAGTTTACACTCACAAGTTCTACATGAATAGTGGGATCTGGCGACCAGAATTCGAAGCTTTTACTACTGCGGTGGTGTCACGCTTACATGCATGCTGCACGCGTTCTTGAAGACGAGGCGTAAACGCATTGGTCGAAGGAGCCCAGAGTGCGTGCGTACTTCCTGAGCGTGACTTGTGTGGGCATGGTGCAACCGCAGAAAATGGCTGCCGGCGGATTTGTTTATAGGCAGGCCTCATAAAGCTGCTCACAGACCAGTGTTAAAGCTACAGTCCATCATTTGCAGCTATCCGAAAAGTAACTGGCGTAATTATTGTTGAAAAACATACTTGGTTGAAAGATAGTAAGGGGACTAAACTCCCTGTGAAATTATTCTTTCTGGCAAGCTGTCATTTTGAAGTAATCAACTAAAGAAGGCCTTTCCAACGGTGCTTCTTAAGACGCACCGCAGGAAATTTAAATTAGTAGTTCGTTTTGTTATTCGGCGAAGCGCGCGCAAAGCATTGGCATGACGCACACGCATGTGAGGTTGCTATAATTCGTGGGATCAGTGGGCGACATCGCGTCGCTGCAATCGGCTCAGTAAGAACATGTCTCGGACGCTGAATTCAGGCCCAATTCAAAACATGATTCAGCAACTTTTGATTTGAAATTGAGATCCTAGAATGCTGTTTTTCTCGGAATATACAGCTACAGCTGAAGCTGAGCTGAAACTTCATCAGGTTAGTTGTTCAGCACCCTTCTTTAGATTTTGAGTACGTTTGTTGCTTCAAACGTTTGTTGCTTCAAAAATTCACAAGTGACAGTCAGTCAGTCGGTCAGTGAGTTAGTGACTAAAGAATTGTATTCATTGACATCAAATGACTTTCCGAAATCATTATTTTGTAAATTTCCCGTTGGTTTTTTTAAGTTGGGAGAAAAGGTTTTGTGTACCTGAGATGCCAGAAGAAGAAATGTCCAATGCGCTGGTTGTAGAGGGACCTTCTCATGAGAAACCGTGCCAGAGGATTGTCCAGATAGGATTCGTATTTCAAAACCTAACAAAATAAAAAAAGACGGGAAGAGTCTATTTAAATTCAACTTCAACAATGTCACAGAACTTTTTTAACATTTCTGGACCGCAGATGGTAAAATAATGTTTGGAAATGGATAATTTTACGATCATTAAACATGCTTGTCTGAATAAATGTTACACTATAAGTGCATTATAAGTAGGTCATTCATGCTCAAGTATCATTCAAAATGAGTTCAAACTTTTCTCATTTGTTAGGTAGGTAGTTTGCTTTACATAATCACTCTTATAGGAAAAAAGGCATGAAGGAGTGCTTCCAGAATTTACAAAACTGTTCATGTCAGATGTAACAGGGACAGGAAAAAAGTAAATCCCAAATGTATAGAATGATCCACAAGCACATGACAGTTCATAGTTGAACAATTTCAGATTACGTCAAGTAGAGAGATTGCGGGTAACACCATGTGGAAAGTAATCTCTTCTTGGAAGAAGTGTGGTTCTGAAAAGAACCGGTTGGTTGAGTGTGGAACTCACCCTCCTGAGGACGGACAGAGCACACTGTCCGAAACGTCGAGTTCTACACTCAACCATCCGGTTCTTTTCAGAACCACACTTCTTCCAAGAAGAGATTTCTTTCCACATGGTGTTACCCCTAATCTTTGCACTTGATCTCATCCGCCATGCAAAGCTACAAGTCATATATACTTTCAGATTATGCTCTCCGGAAAAAACAATAACCCTGTACCTGGACAAGTTGCAGGATGTACTGTAATAGTTCCTCATCTGTCAGGTTCTGTTCCAGCGATTCCACAGCGAAGGTTCTGACTCCGAGATCCGCGTAGCTGCAGTCTAGAAGACCTAACGCTGTCTCATTGTCTACGAGGTCCCAGTCTTTGAGTAGGATGTACAGCTGATGCAAACAAAGTGGAGTAATAAATCTTTGAGTACAGAAAGGTCGTCGTTCACAAGTACCCCCTCAACGGTTACAAAGGGAGAGTTGGGGTGGGACCACTGGGAAGGGCATTGGAACGCAATGCCTACGGTAACTGATGTGCATGCAAAGACGCCAAATTGTTTGTATCCAAATTTCAAATATTGTAGCTGAAATTGCCTTTTCAATTTTACCAAATGTTTCAAACCACGTTATTTTACCTGTGATACATCATCTCTGGAATTCCACTTGACAGCGTTGAGCAGCTTGGGCAAAGAGTTTGGTCTCGCTTGACAGTATAACCTGAAAAAGAACAACAACACAAACCAAGACACATTCAAAAAGTGACAGCTCCTTCTTCATTAGGCCTATAACCCTGCTAGAAGCAACACAGTATATCAGGTGTATAAGTCTGTGGGACTTTGCTGCATTGAGCCATCAGCGACAGTGAATATAAATGTCCAATTCTGAGACAATTGGAGCTACACATAGTCCCACTGAACAATGGTACTGTTGTATTTGGCAACCTCAGACTCTGAGGAAGTTTCAATGTTGGATTTTTTTTCAATCAGAGAGATCCTTGTTACAATGGGCAGATTACACTCTTTGACAACTGTTGTATTTTGTTGCACTGAGCATGGTTGTATTAAAACCAAATACTCTGAAGGTAAAAATACTGTTATTTACATGTAGCGGGGTTGGTCTAAAGCTCATCAACAAAGAAGTTTGTTGAAAATTGCTCAAGATACACTGTCCCTGCTGTTTTCAAGTTCCACCTGGAAAAAGGTATTTGATTTTCAAATTGCTATTTTTTTTCCTAGCAAAACAAAAGTTATTCACTTTTGAAAGAGACATCAAAAATAAAAAAAATTCAGTATGGAATAATTACTTTCTATCTTTTGAATTAATTGCAGTCCGACAATATTTAAGTTCTAGCATGGCAGACTAGTTCCTGCCCCCTTTTTACAAATGGGTGCCAGTATCCAGTTTTCTTGCAGGGCTGATCTGTTTGTGGCATAAAATCAACCCAAGATAAAAAAAACAACATTTTTTTTTGCATAACATTTGTTAGAAGGAAAAAAAAGCCTGATTTTTTGTTCAAAGTAAATATCAGAGGACTCCACTTTACCTGCAATCCCAGACTAGTTCTTTGTCTTGTTCTGACATTTCATGCAGCGTGTCTCGTCGGATGATCTCGTCTAGTAATCTAGCCTCCTCAACCGATGGTATCTGTGAAAAAAATTAACAGGGTTTAAAAGGCAATTAACCCAGGTTATCATGAGCTAAATCGGGATTACATAAAGCCAAACAGGGTTTTTAAAAATAAAGCTATAAACTTTGCAACACTGAGCAAGTTTGGGCGCAAACTATAGTTAACCAAAGTTTGACTATTTTCGCTCGAATGAAGGATGGTTGGACTTCTCTAGTCGACTATTTGAAACTGAACCACAGGGCACGGTTGCATTGCTGTTTACCAATCCACTCCGTTCACAAGTACCCTCTCACCAGCAAAGAAAGTACAGTTGGGGTGACTGAACGACGCCATCTTGCCTGACTGCAATATTTTGCCGCAAAGCGCGGCCCCTGCATATACATAGTACAAATCCCCTGATGTACGTGCGTCACACACAAGGAACGCTGCGCGCGCGTCAACCAGCGAAATGTACGTGTCCCGCCCATGGGACGTCGTTGCTAGGTAAAAGGGCGCCCTCTTTTGTTGGCTCACGGAGCCCATAGCCGTGCGCATCATAAAGCAACGGGGAGCCAGGACCAAGAAGTTTCATGATGACATTTTGCCCATCGTTTGGCCAGAGGCAGTCGCACAGGCGCGAGTTACGTGACTTAGTGATCGGGTGTGGGTTATGTCAAGAATCAACCAGGAGGGAGGGGGGAGGTCATCCCATCAAAATCCTTTTTTCCCCCAAAATAACAGCACCACACAAGTAAATCACAAGTTAATTCATAAGTCCGGTCACAAGTAACAGGGGATGCAGCAGCGATGCACCCTTTGAAAAGCATCTGAGCTAAAGTTGATCTGGATGACTAGTGGTGGACTTGTGGTGGACCTGTGACGGACTTGTGACGGACTGGTGATAGACTTGTGATTCACCTGCGATTCACATGCAATTCACTTGTGATTCACTTATGATTCACGTGTGATTCCCTTGTGATTCGCCTGTGATTTGCTTGTGATCCACTTGTGATTTGATTGTGATTTGCTTGTGATTCACTTGTGATGTGCTTGTGATTCACTTGTGATTCCCTTGTGATTTACTTGTGATTCACTTGCGATTCACTTGCGATTCACATGCAATTCACTTGCGATTCACTTGCGATTCACTTGCGATTCACTTGTGATTCGCTTGTGATTGACTTGTGATTCACATGTGACAGACTTGTGTTAGAGTGTTGTCTTGAGATCCATCGCAAGCACTTCGACTACAACACTAGAGAAATTTAGAAAATCCTGAGTTGGGCTTACTTTAGACGGCTTCGAGGGCACGTTGGCGGCATGATCGCTGATCTCCTGAAACTGCGGGAAGACCAGGCTGTACTTGTAGCGCTCGCACTCCAGCTCCAGGCACGGCGCATCCTTGTTGGGATTGGAACCAGTCTGGCCGAAGGGGTTGAGCAGCTCATCGTGGCCCTGGGGGAGGGGCCAGAGGTAGAGGCGCAGACTCCCGGCTTGCAGGCGGTTGGTGTAGTCAAAGAGATTGACGTTACCCCAGGCGATGCAGACAGACTGTAAGCAGTCAGAAAATAATTAGAAAAGTTGAGCATTTATCAAAATGTATTTGCTCTGGCGATCAGCCGAGTCACAAATGTGAGGTGTTCTAGCAAAATGAGATGGAACTGGGCTTAGGCCGTAGTGGAGAAAAATGAAAAAAACTGAATAGGCCACATTTCATATTTCTTCATATGTGGTGCAATCAAGCTGAATGAGTCGTTTGTCAACCCTGGTCAATTTTTTTCTTTGCTCAGCCGAGTCGCAAATGAGAGGTGTTCGGACAAAATTGAGATGGAATGGGCATAGGCCGTAGTGGAGAAAACTGCAAAAAACTGAATAGGCCATATTTTTTATTTTATTTTCTGATTTCATATTTCTTCATATGTGATGCGATCAAGCTGAATGAGTCGTTTGTCAACCCTGGTCATTTTTTTTGGATACAGATTTGAAAAGAGCACAATCTCAGCATTACTGCTGTGAAAACCGCATGCTGATACCATCTTTAGTTCAAAAATTATGGAAGTCGGAACACCAAGAGATGTGATGAAGTGATGTGATGAAGTGGCCCTATTTTGGCCTGAATCTCCAAATGAAAGTTCCCGACAAACATGACAAACGACTCATTTAGCTTATGTAATCTTTGATATGTCTTCTGTTAAAAATGTAGTATAAAAATGTGTGGAATAAAAGTGTTATTAGGGAAAAACAATTGGCATCTTTCATTTTCATGAATACAAAACTCGACACTTTAATGGCTTTTCTCAGTTTGTTACTTTTTTGGCACGTCGATAAATATGAACTTTAAACAGCCATAACTTATCAACGGAATGTCCGACTGAAGAGTGCAACAAACAGTATTGCAAGGAGAATTTTATTCTCATTCCCAATACATGTACCTGGAAACCCTCGTTTGTACGTTTGCCCACTTCTATTACATTTTGCCAGAACCAGTCAGAAACTACATGTGTCAGTAAAGAATTGTGTGCATTGATCAGGAATTACATGGGATGAACAGAAATTAACCGGGCTAGTCTGGACTTGCATGATGAGCCTGTCGGAAATGCACCGGCAAAAATATGATGACCTTGGCCTATCAAGTTGAAGAGAACAATACATGTATACCAGCAAAAATGTCGGCTCAAAAATTTTAGGACAAATACCGGTTCTGAGGCTGTCAACATTTAAAAATATAAAACTTCCAATAAATAAAATACAAGTACTGTTTAAAATAAATAAAGTACTGTTTGATCTTCCAAGGACATTTCACTATTCAAATATTCAATTACATTCAGCATTGGCCTGAACAAAAATACAATGGGATCGGAATTAGATTCCAACATTTCTGGAATTGCTTCTGTTTTTGTCAAGGAGTGAAAATTCCTTGCAGAATTAATTCCAAGTTTTATGCAAGTAATAAAAGTAAAGTAATAAGAATGGAAACCCTCGGTATTGTCACAAGTAAAAAGTAGTGTTTAATCACTGAAAGCAAAGTCATTAAGGGGTGTGATCCCTCTCTTAAACCGAGTCTTGCACACGTGCATGCACGACGTGCAAGTGCCATCTAACCATAAATTTGGGGATATCTTGTGCAATGGAGATGAATTTGAATGCAGGGTTTTGCCCTTTACTGAAGTTACTTAAAAAGTGCTGCAATACTCCGTCCTGTCTGAGCTTCAGTCCGAGAGAATGAAAACTTCCCAAACTTGCCCGGGTGGGACTCGAACCCATGACCTCCTGCTAACTAATATAGAATTATACATGTTTATCAGATTCAAAACCCAGCAATCTTGGCGGTTAATATGGTTTTGACTTCTGCACTAGCATGTATTCAGTGAGAATACAGTGCTTAAAAAAAAAATGACGTCTGTGAAGAGCATAACCAATTTTAAAATTTACTAATGTACAAAGATATGAAAAATACAGTAGATTTTCAGGCATGTAACCTGTAAATACAATAGAACCACACTTGTTTACAGTCTTTGAATGACCCGAGTTATCTGGTGTTGATATACAAATACTGTACAAATATTTTGATAGTAAAGTCCAACAACCAAATACAGATAACCTTATTCAACTACAACCGGTAATCATTATGTCTGTCTGCCAATCTTGCTGTCTCTTTTTGGTAAATACGCAAGTTTGCCCTTGTTAAACACTACCCGGTACCTTGTTGATGGCTCAGTATTAAATGGCTGTACTTCAAAAATTTAGAAAGACATTTGTGTAGGGATGGGTTTGATGTGCACAAGCATGTACATGTATAGTCAGGTTACCGGGCAAATTGGCATACGTTCCGTACATAATGTGTAGCTGGTTCACCTCTGATCGATTTCACGAAACTTGGTTTTGCTGTGCACCGTTTCAAATATTACAAAATCTTGGACGGGGATGATCATAGCTTTCCTAACGGATGATTATGTACAATTTCATATCGGTTATAGAACAATCATTGAATCAGTTTGGCCTGCCATTTTTTTCGGGGGGGGGGGGGGGGGGGGAGAGCTTTCGCCGACTTTTTTCCGAATTGGGTGACAACTCTCAAAATTCTGTCATGGTTAACTTACCATTTCATTTATCTGGAAAGCAAACTGTGAATTTCTTGCATCTGGCTTGATCATTCGCTCTTTTCACGCTCCGCCATTGGGCATGCAGAGCCTCGATCTGGCAACTGTACACAATAAAAATAGCCGGTTCAGTGATCTGAACCCCGACACGGGAATCACTGAACCGGCTGTATCTATTGTGTAAAGTTGCCAGATCGAGGCTGTGCATGCCCATGGCGGAGTGTGAGGAGAGCGAATTACGGCAATGACATGCTGTACAATTTTCAATTTTGTATGCAACTGCTAACACAACCTCAAAGGGTCTATGTGATGAATTTTTCTTTGGAAAACTTTTTGTGCAACTTTCTACTCCTCTTACATGTATGAAAACTATTTGACAGACCTTTTGGTTAATTTTATTGAAAAGTGCACTTCTTTAAACATTAAACAAATTTCCATGCTTTTCTGGATATCTGAGGGACCTGGGGCGCTGTTAATACTATGATGACATTTCAGGAAGACATTGTTAACTTTTATAGGGGTTTTCTGTTCAAATTGGGAACCCAAAATTTGCTCATTGAAAACATTTGTGAGAAAGGGTTGCTCATTGGCTTACTGCCATGTACCGTACTTACCTACACAACGACGAATCACAAAAGACAAGAACATTTATGACAGCAATACATGTAAATCCAAAATTCTGGCAACTTTTAGTGCTAAAATAGCTGTAACATTGAGGTTTCTGCCTGAAATGACATCACACTTTTGCTCATGAATATGGAAATTGGCATTAGCATAAAACCCCAAATGGCACCAAAATACCCTTGGAAATGGCAAAACGAAAATTGAAAATGAGTTTAATGGGCCACAAAGGACCATTTGGAAGGATAGCATTAACAAAATTACATTGCATAAGTGCTTAAGCTATGCCATAAGTTGTCAAACAAGTCGTAGACTAAATCATGCCCTCCAAAAGTTCAGTGAAATATGTCATAATCTTTGCATAATGTGAAATATGCAACTATGGAGTTAAAATGTGTTGCAAGTGGATTTTACAACACTGCGTAAAGTTTCATGAAATCGACTATAGCACAACATCTATCCCGCCTTCTTTTGCATCCTAGCTCCGCCTTCAACTCTCACCTCTTTTTTGCCTTTGCGTTTGCTGGTTGAGCAGATGGAGACGCACAGCCGGGCGCTGCGCGGTATGTCCGGGATGCGCAGCTCGTAGGTCAGCCACTCGTTCCAGCGGGGATTGGAACAGGGGACGTGCTCCGTCATGACCTGGGGGCACAGGGACTCTGAGCCGTGGTAGATACCTGAGCGCACATAGATCTGAACAAAACAAAAAAAATTGTAATAATACATGTAATAATAATAATAACAACAATTATAACGGGTTCTTATATAGCACTTTTAACAAAGATCAAAGCGCTTTACATTATTATTACCCCTGATCATTGGGCCAATTAAACATTTCAAATACCATCTCAGCTCCTTGGGGAGTATACAGCTCGATGCTGCCTGTTAGGCGCAAGCCAGCTAAATCAATCACATAACCATCTTTACCCTCACAGGTACCCATTTACTCCTGGGTGGAGAGAAGCAATGAGTGACAAAGTGCCTTGCCCAAGGGCACATGCACCATGACCCCAGGCTGGACTCGAACCCGAAACCCGCAGCTTTACCCGCAGACCACGAATCTAATGCCCTTAACCACGAGGCCACAGCACTCCACATTAATTAATTACTTATAAAAGTTGAACAAACAAAGGGTTTGAACCTGCAACCTCCAGATTACCGTACCAGTGCTCTAACAATTCAAACATCCAGCCCTACGTTGTGCAAGAGACTTGGTTATTGAATGAGTCAGTTTGGTATTCAAACTACACATGTGGGCTTAAAGAGGTTGTGGAATGCTCGAAGACATTTCCGTCATTTTTTGGGTATATGTAGCCTAAGGTGTGATGAAATAAAAACGACTATTGTTTCTGTCATGAAATGAGTACAAAGGGTACTTTTGAGAGCTATTTTTCAGGTCCTGTTCGACCCGAACATGCAATTTGTGTAAAAGTCGTCGTTGCGGGCAGCAAACAAAACACAGTAAATCGTGACGTAATAAACAGGACTCGTTTATGCTACTCCGCATCAGGAGTCCTGTTTATTACGTCACGATTTATTGTGTTTTGTTTGCTGCCCGCAACGACGACTTTTACACAAATTGCACGTTCGGGTCGAAACAGGCATGACAGGACTTGAAAAACAGCTCTCAAAAGTACCTTTTGTACTCCTTTTATGACAGACACAAAAGTCGTTTTTATTTCATCACACCTTAGGCTACATATACCCGAAAAATGACGGAAATGTTTTCGAGCATTCCACAACCTCTTTAAGATTCAACTTTCTTCAGTTTGGTATAAACGGAGACAATGTTAGTACAGGCAATGGTAACTAAATCTGACAACAACAAAAAACAATGTAAGGTGGTTTTGGACATTCTACTTTTATCATGAAAACAGAGACAAATCGTAACTGTCCACCTACATCCACATTTAAATTGTGCACTGGAGCGTGATAATAAAAAAATATATAGATTTTTAAACTTTTTTTATATTTATTTAAAAAAAAAAATTTTTTATAGAAATGATTGGTTTGTGGTATTTTCCTTCAGCTCAGAAACATTAGAATGACTGACAATTCCAAAAATGGCAAATTTTAGTAGGTCTACTTTATAACCTGCTTGATGAAAATGGTTGAATGACTAAATTTAAAAAATGAATTTGAGGAGGGGAGTAGAAGTGGATTGAAATTTGTCATCATTGTTAAGCTGAATTTTTCCCAAACGCATTAACTTCAAAATTCGAATTTTGTTTTACAGCTGTTTGGTGGTGGATGCTCCCAAATGTCATTGCAATTTTTTTCTCTCCAAATGTGGCCCTGTACCCATGACACAATGTATGTAATGTACCAACCTTGTCAAGTTCCTTGACGTTGACATACATTGCACAGTTGATCTTGACCTTGAAGTAGTCACTGACGTCCCACAGACACTTCGCCTGCAGGTTGTCCCTGGGGAGGGTGGGCGGAGCCCGCCTCATGTAAGAGGGGAGGGGGAAGGTCACCTCAGGCAGGCTGTTCAGGAGGCTGTCCCGTGCCATCAGGATCAGCTTGGGGGTCTTCTTACGGAGGATGCATTGGCGGATGTACTGTTGGAAAAACGGCAGAGATCTTTATTAAAAACTGCAACGCAGGTGGCGCATATGGAACACCATACTTTTTATCAAGTCTTGGGACCAACAGACAGACCAGCCGACTGACCGACCGGTCACCAAATGACATGTACATGTAGAAGCTCCAATATTAGATAAGCAATTTTTTTTCTAGATGCTTAAAGGGAATGTACAACATTGGCTTTTGCTGCAATTTTTAGAAATAAGTGCATTTGGAGGATTTATATGTTTTAGCAAATATTGTTAAACTGACTTGTTTCACCTTTTTGGCTTGTTGATGCTGGAAAAACCAAGAAAACCAATTATATTCTTGTAGTCTGGTTCCCTGACCCCACTTAAGATGAAATGGAGCAATTTATAGACTTTGGGGAATTGTGCGGTCAGAGTATCAATTTAGCTGGCTTGTACCCATTCACAGGTGAGTAATCAATTGCAAAGAAGATGTGGAATAACTAAATATAAGAAATATGGAGTAGTTTTTGAAAATAGCCAGTTTTCTCCAACGCTGGTCGGCCGACCAGCGTTGGAAAAATACCATTTTTCTTGAAAATGACAGCACACCAGGAGCCACAATTTTACAGTTCCTTAACAATCCAGTAAGGTATTTCGTGATAAGTGGATCATTTCGTTTTTTTGATGTTTGCAAATGTTGTATCTTCCCTTTAACAAAATGTCTGTGCATAACATCTCTGCAAAATTGGTTCCTGTAAGGTTGTGAAGGTGTCTACGTGGTTCAGGATTTAACAACAAACCTTAAATTGCGATATGGGGTAGTTGTCCATGATGTACTCGTCGCAGCCGCAGACTTTAAGGACGTAAGTGCCCTTGTACTCCTCCACGCAGCGCTGCTGCTGATTGGGCGACAGGGCCATGCTCTCTGTACGTTTGCGGATCGTCTCGGCGATGATGTCCTCGGGTTTGCAGTCGTGGGCGATCTTGCAGGTGTAGCTCATGCTGTCGCCGCTGGAGGAGATGACCCAAATGCAGATGGTGACCCGACCTGGAATGGGGAGGATTTTTGAAAGAAGACAAAACAAGGTTTCCGTTTACTCGTACATAGCTGCTTTTCAGTTGGTTCTTGTAGGAAACTGTTTTGTAATTATTCCCTAAAGAACAAAAACAAAAAAACTTAGTGTGTTGGGGCAGTATGGCGGTACATGAATTAACAGGCAGGATTATTTTGCAAAAGTACAGGAACTAATGGTGAAAGGGGCACAGAATACTTAAAGTTCACCTTTGTGTCTCATTTACATTCATTTGCAGTCTTTTATTGGCATTTTTAAGCGTGTTTAAAGGGAATATACAACATTTGCAAATATAGAAAAACAAAAATACCACATTTTTACGAAATACCTTACTACATGTACTAGGATGTTGATAAATGTCAGTCTAAAGCATCCTGTAAAATTATGGCACCTGGTGTGAAGTCGTTTTCAAGAAAAGTGGTATTTTTGCATCAATTTCCAACGGTGGTCGGCTGACCACCGTTGGAAAAACCTAACTATTTTTCAACTACTGCTCCAAATTTACCATTTTTTTCAGTCCAAATTTTGTTTGCTATTGGTTACATGTTCATGTTCGGGTGCAGGCAAGCTAGACTGGTTCCCTTACCTTACAATGTTTCGGCATCTTTAAATTGATCCTTTTCATTTTAGTGGAGTCAGGAAACCAGACTACTTGAACTTTTTGTTTTTCTTGTTTTTCCTAGCATTTTCGAACACAAAACTTCAAATATGTCAGTGCAACAATATTTGATCTATTATACATGTACTAAAATAACCCCTCAAATAGTTCATTTCTGAAAATTACAGCGAAAGCCAATGATGTACATTGTACATTCCCTTTAAGGCCAACTTTTTGGGGGGGGGTGGGATTGGGGAGGGGGTTGCTAAAGCTATTTGCATAATCATGGGCAAACCAATGATGTCATCCTAGGCACGTGTATGTACATGTGGGTCAACGAACAAAGTTTATGCACTCATGTTTTCACAATGATGTAAATGTTCACATGTACAAGTACATTTTTCAGTTGCATAATTTGCACACTAAATCCTCAAATATCTAATGTGTGCCTGAAGTGACATCACAGTAATGGGTGTGTGGCTGTGCATTAGAACCGGGTACCTACATGTACATGTATGTACCTGACCGTTGATGTCAGGAACCGGTTCCAGATTATGGGATCGGGTACCCGTGATTAACCAACTTTACAAATTACTTAGTAACTTCTCAGACATTGAAAAAGAAAAGTTTTGAATGTCATTTGTGGGCAATTTAAAAAAATGAAAACCAGGCTACACGGGAAAACAAATCATAAATGTCACATTTACGATGCTCAAGAACGTTGCAGCTTACACCGTAAAGCTATAAAATCACTACTTGTATCTTGCTGTATCGATGCACAGATGTGGCAGAATTACGATGCAGACCTTTATAAACAACAAGCTGAATTACCCGATCATAGATCGGGTAGGGCGTATTTGTGTTGGGGTTGAAAGTGTGGGGAGTTAAATGTAAGTGGGGGATTTAGTTGAGAAGACATGTAGCTATAGAAAAGCAATTGACGGTGACGCGATCTGAGGAAATTTCTGAGAACGTACGATAGTAAAACAAAAGATCATCTTTTAAACATCATTTTCGAGTTTGGAGTCATTGAATCAGCTGTTCTGAGCAAAAGAATATTATAGTAGGCTACAATTTTTATTCGGGGAAGAAAAAGTGGGGGTAGGGAACCAAACGATATTGCCCGCTTTAAAATGTTGGGGTGGGGGTCCCCCGTCCCCCAACGATTGACGCCGCGCCCATGATAATTATGTACCATGGCATGTATAACTGTCTGTAAATTTTCCCGTTGGTCTGTTAAATTGCATTTTGTGAGGCAGTCGCGTTTGTTAATGTGAGAAAACTGAGTTGAATTACCGTATAGTACACAGGCGAAGGCTGATTGTACTGTTTTGACAATAAATCATAATGGAATAAAACGTGATACACAGGCGAAGGCTGATTGTACTGTTTTGACAATAAATCATAATGGAATAAAACGTGAAGGTGGCATTTGCAATAAAAATGTTGAGTGTGATACCATAAAATTACATAGTCTGAATCATGGAGGAAGGTCATTATGAAGGTACAGTATTGGACTCTTCAACAAACGTAAACTTGAACTTCTTACAATTTGCGAGACCTGCGAGGAAAAAGTCGATTTAACTATTTTATTCAAGTTGGCATGGTTCAACCATAATATAAGCAAGGCCAAACAGCCAACAACCGCCAATATTATTATTTATGCACTCTTCGTTATTCCAACCCAACCTAGTTCAAAGATCACAATATTTGAAGCAATGCATCGATCCCTCGTTGATTTACCCGATCATAGATCAGGTAGGGCGTAGAGTTGGGGATGAAAATGTGGGGAGATGAATGTAATTGGGGGATTTAGTTGAGAAGACATGCAGTTATAGAAAAGCAATTTCTGTGGTGCGATCTGAGGCAATTTCTGACCACTAACAATTATGTACCATGGCAACAGTCTGTAAATGTTCCCGTTCTGTTAAATTGGCATTTTGTGAGGCAGTGGCATTTGTGGGAAAACGTACTTGAAAGGCTTGCCGTAGTACACAGGCGAAGGCTGATTAGGAAGGTCATAATTAAGTTTCAGTATATTGGACTCTTCAACAAACGTAAACTTGAACGTCTTACAATTTGCTAGCCCCATAAATGTGGCCTATTTACTGGACTGCCTCCGTAAACATAGGCCACACATCCACATGTACAAAAACGTGTCGACTTTGCCAAATTTTGATTTCCACATTGAGGCTTACTTTGTAGGTTTTTTTTGCTTTAGAAGCATTCTCACCCTCTATATAGGCTAATCAGAAAGTGCTGCCTTTTCCAGATGTCTAATTTTTGTGAAATTTCATGTTGAAATTTTGATACGCAAACGTGTGCAAATGTATCTGGAAATTTCACGAAAAATGGACATCTGAAAAAGGCAGCACTTTCTGATTAGCCTATATAGAGGGTGAGAATGCTTCTAAAGCAAAAAAAACCTACAAAGTGAGCCTAAATGTGAAAATCAAAATTTGGCAAAGTCGACACGTTTTTGTACATGTGGATGTGTGGCCTATGTTTACGGAGGCAGTCCAGTAAATAGGCCACATTTATGGGGCTAACAATTTGCGAGACCGTCTGCGAGGAACTTGTCGAGTCAACTGTTATTCAACTTGGGGCAACCATCTATATAAGAGCAAATTTTACTCGGCCTCCGAGAAATGTTTGCTCCTGAAACGATCTGAGACCGCGGTCTTTCGCGACGCCAAAATCGCTCCACGTCCGTGGAAAAATGTGGAGGGTGTCTTCCGCCGGATCGGACACATTTTCGTTGATTTTTTGTGTGACTGCGTTTAAGATCTCGATGTTTGAAGCAATGCATCGATCCTTCGTTGATCCCAGACAGGCCCCCGAAATTATAACGCAACACTGTGGCGGGCAGCGAACTCACAACGCTCAGCCTTGGTGGAAGCATGGAGCTGTATTAACACACGATGGAAGCAACAGAGCACTATACACGTCACTCACATGCTTGTGCTTCAAATCATGCAAATAGCGAGCACCGTAGACCCAACCTCGTTTCCAGGGTGTGGAGCAGGCTGCAGTACGCGTTGCCATCGACAGTTTTGCATAGCCCGGAAATACTACGCAGTGTAGACTTTCGATTGGTCAGACCGCGCAAGGCAATACTTAATGTGTAGTCCTTCTGAGTATTCGTTGTACACGGCGCAGGGGCGGCAAGCGAAGCATATGAAAGAATAGGGGCACTTGGTGGCCACGCACCATGGAGAAAAAATATTTTATCAAGGTCACCCCATAACACAATTTGGTGAACGCTTTTGCAGAACGGCTGAGTAGAACACGTAAACGAAACCCCTACGTTGACCTCGCTGACCTCGCACAGTCTAGACACGCAGAGAAGCCAGCACAGGGGGCGGCCAGGCAGTCAACGTGAGAGCGCACACGACGGCAAATTCCTGCGAAAAACGCAGTCACGAAAAATCGACGAAACGGATCGCCGGTCCGTACGGGAAAATCAGGACGACCCGAAGTGTCCGACCCGGCGGAAGACACCCTCCGTATTTTTCCACGGACGTGGAGCGATTTTCGCGCAGCGGGAGCCCGCGGTCTCGGATCCTTTCATGAGCAAACATCGTCTCGGGGGCGAGTAAACTTCTCTCTTATATATATAGATCTGTACAACAACTTCCGAGATTTGAATTTTGGAGTTGGGTTTCTTTAACGGGTTCCCATACTACCCGTAAATGCACACCCCTTGTCAGGTGTCTAAGAAAAGCAACAAAATTGGAAATTGGGAGGGGAAAATTCAATTTAACGAAATTTCAAATAAAATGTGTCATCATTTTTCAAACATTTCAAAGGCGCATGCACATTTGCACAAAATATGGTTTAATAAAACAAATTCATTAAAGGCCTCTTTTAACTCTCTTAATGAACAAAAACTACAATGCAGTCAAGGAAATGTTCATCATTACATGTAAACTGATATTATCTGCTCAATTTGTGGTCCTACCAGGTATACCGGTATGCGTTATTTGTATGGCATTATTGACATTTTATTTTCGTGGCAGTAATTACTGAGTACAAAAATAAAATGTCACGCCGGATATTTGGGGTTTCAGGAGAATGAAAAAACCTGTTTACATGCAAACCCCCTGGATAATGTCACGACCTTTCCTGCTTTTAGTTGGTCTCTTTGGCAATGAGCCAAAAAGTAGTGTTTCTATTGGCACGATGCCAAGTATGTATGTTATTTTTTTTGGAACTTTGCCAAAAAGAGGTGTTTTTGTTTTGTTTTCTATTTTTGTAACTATTGGGCAAGTGCTGTTCAAAACAACAATTTTTTTGGCACTGTTCCAATGTTTTACTGGCACTGTGCCAATCTGATTCGTCTTCCCGGCCCGCTGGCTAGCTGGCTGGCCGGAGATA